CCCGGCCCTCCCCCCCGGATGGAAGAAGGAGGAAGTGATCCGAAAATCTGGGCTCAGTGCCGGCAAGAGCGATGTCTACTACTTCAGGTACCTCTTTGGATGTGCGGGGAGGGGGTGGGGGGGTTGGGGTGTTGGGGTCAAGGGTCAAGAGCTGGCCAGGGCAGGGATGGCAGGGTCAGAGCAGGGTTGAAGGTATGTGGCAAGGGTAGGCTGAGCTGATAGGACGGGGGAGGGGTGCAGCCCTTCAGTGACACTAGACCACAGTGCTGAGAGGGGCCCAGTGTCTGAAAGGTGAGGGCACGTTCTGTCGAAAGCATCTGGGAAAATGGTTTGTGAAGAAAGAATTGCTCACTGGGATGGTTAGGCCACTAAAGGGTTAAAAGAAGGTGCAATTCATCGAAACTATAAAACCTAGTCACTGTTGGCTCCTGTCCCAGCATGTCCCAGATTCATCATCTCAAGTGTGTTTAATCTTGCACATGTGGAAGAATTAACTATCTTTGGGAACAAAGTTTCAGTTAACTTCTTAGGATCCAAGGAAGTTCCTCATAAAGTAGTCATTTGGAAGGCCCGAAACATTGGAATGCTTTCGTGTGGCAGTACATCCTCTCTTCCGACAAAGAAGTTGTCAGACTCCTAGACCGACATTTGCACCCCTGGAAACATGTGGCAATGTCTGGAGACAATTTTGGGTCTCACACCTGGGGAGCTGGTGCTATTGCACCTGGTGGGTAGAGGCCAGGGGTGCCTCTGTGCATACAGCAGGCCCTGCAGTAGAAGTAGTATCTGGCCCCAGATGCCACCAGGGCTAAAGCTGAGAAATACAGTTTAAATGTTTCAAGGTTTTTCTCTTTAACGTAATCTTGCAATCTTGTGGTTATGCTGTCCATGCCCTTCATTTGTATAACATGGCAAGCTCAGGAAAGGGCCAGTGGCCACTGATATGAGTGGAATTATAAACACATTTACTAAATGTTCCTACAAACCATTCCATTTCTAGAAGAGAGTATAAACATCCTATATTCAGTGATTTGGAGGGCTCTGCTTGTGGACTGATTGGACCCTTTCAGGCATTGTAAAATTTTAGTGTTAGAGCTGCTTGTTAGCCATTCAGACGTTGGAATAATGGACGAGATTTCCCATTGGACATTCCACTGGAAAAATGTGTATATATACACATGTGGAATATTATGAATTGGTGCAGATGGGTTTAAAAGGTTAAAAATTTGTGTACAAGCATATGTTTCACAGTACACGAATGTAGTTCCTGCTGATACAGCCTGGTATAGGAACATTCTGTTTTCCCCCTCATCCTTGGTGCTGGTGATCAAACCCAGGCGTGTTGGCAAGTGCTCACTGACCCTGACCCTTACCCTGACCACATTTTGATGGTTTCTCAAATATATGGGTGATTAGGTTATTAATTTCACTTCTTCAAGTAAAAAAAAATAGTCTTGCATTACAACTCATTTTTTTTTTTATTTGATCTAAGACAACTTGTCTTCTAAATGATAAATGGAAAACATTTATTTTTCAGTGCTGGGTATTGAACCTAAGGCTTCGTATATTCTGGATGAGTGCTAGGTATCTGAGTTACATCCCCAGCCCCTGCAGCCCTTTAAAAAAATGTTTTATGGCAGAGTCTTGCTAAGTTTCCCAGCTGGCCTTGAATTAGCTTTATAGGAAGACCTTAAACTTGTAATCTCCTGCACAGTCCCTGAGCAACTAGAATTGCAGTCCTGTACCATTGGGCCTGGCTGGAAAACTATTTTAAATATATGAAAGTGATTGTTTTGTATTTCTGCACAAACACTCAATTCAGTGTTGAGTTATTGAGGCTAAAAATAAGTTTCTTCTCAGGTACCTTTGCTTCATTTAGTGCTAGTCACAATTCTGCTTTGTTTTTCCTTCTATATAGTATCTTTTCTCAAGAGTTAGTCTGCATAGGCTTCTGTGAACTGTTGCCGATGTCTTATAGGCAGGTCCGTTGGACAGGAATATTCTGTGTCTGGGATTGAATTCCTTGAAGAGCAGATCTAGTCTCAGCTGAGCATCTTATATTTTGCCTGTAGTCCCACATACTCAGGAAGCTGAAGGACAGGATCACTTGAGCCCAGGAGTTCAAGGTCAGCCTGGGTAATTAGTGAGACACTTGTTTTTAAAAATGTAAAACTAGAGGCCATTAAGATGGCTCAGCAGGTAAAGGTGCTTGCCACAAAGCCCGATGACCTGAGTTTGATCCCAGGAATCTGCATGGTGGAAGAAGAGAACCAATTCACACAGGCTGTCCTCTAATCTCTATATACGTACCATGCCATGTGTGACTCACACCCCTTAACCCCACATACAAATAAAGAAATAAATGTAAAAAGAAAAATTGAAACAAAAAAGTAGAACTTTGGGCTCGGGGCATAGGTCAGTTGTAGCACTCTCGACTAACATTTTAAGAATGTATGTGTGAGCCACTCGTAGTGGTACACTCCTTTAATCCCAGCACTTAGGAGGCAGAGGCAGGCAGATCTTTGTGAAATTGAGGCCAACCTTGTCTACATAATGAGTTCCAGGCCAGCTACAGGAAGATCCTGTCTTTAAAAAACCCCAAAACACACGTGCATGCATCTGTTGTTGGCATGTTTGTGTCTGTGTGGGTGTATGTGGAGGCCTGGGGTTGACACTGGGTTTCTTCCTCATTACCTCTCCTCTCCACCTTACTGATTGAAATAGGGTTTCTCACTGAACATGGAGATTGTCGTTTCGTCAAGTCTAGCCAGCTTGCTTGGATTCCCCATCTCTGCCAGGTGTGCTGACATTCTAGGCAGGCCCATATGACTTTTGTCTAGATTTGGAGGTCCAAAGTCTAGTCCTGTACTTGTGTTTCAAGTGCTTTCCTTGCTGAGCCATCTCCTCAGCCCCTTGCCTAGCATTCTTAAGGCTCTGGGTTTGATCAATTACAAGACAAAAAACAGAACCAGTCATATTGCTGCAGAGCTCATTTCTGTTTGTGGTCAGGAATGTGTTTTGCATTTTTTTCATGGTAAAATTTTATATAAATTTAAACATTAATACTTCATGGTAGATTAACCTGATCTAATTAGCTTAAACTTTCTTAAACAAATTCATCTATAGGCAAGTCATAAACCACTGTAGTGATAATTACTTTTTATGCCTCTTTATGAGATACTACAGCATGATTTCTGTACTTTGTTCGAAATGGAAAGGACATATTGAACAGATTTGTGCCACATGGTGCTTAGTTTAGGGATAGAAAGTGTTGTCTGTACTTTATTGACGCCTTACAAAGTGTTAGTTACTGTGGAGGATTGTCAGCACCCCATTTTGATTTTCTTCTGAGAGATTACATTCTGAAACACTTAAGGATGTATGAAGCATGGTGTGACACTTGCAGTAGAGTAGTTACAGTGACTTTTGTAACTTCCTATGATAAGTTATGGTGACCTACTGGTATAACTGAGCACAAGTTATTTTTCAACCCACAGTGTTAGGTTTTAACATACTCATGTTCCTATATTCACCACTCTTAAACCAGTAGCTCCCCAAAATATCTGTTAATGGTGGGTTAAGGGTGAGCTCTCCTGTTGGTAATGTGAACACCTGCACCCAGCTGTTCATACAGATTCTAATAATGTGAACCCCTGAATTAGCCTGCCCCTGGGGAGATTAAGCCATGCCTATTAACAGAGGGCGTGACTGACACTTATTAATTGGGCTGAAGTTAAACTTGTAGAGAAAGCCTTAGATTTTGGTAGAATATTTTTGGCTGTTTCCTGAAGCTGCCAGAGTTGTAATAGGAAGGAGTGCCTCTGACTGCCACTTAGGTCATATAATTATACCTTCTGTCAGGATTACTGATAGTGTTGTGGCCGTTCATATATTATCATCCAAAGTGTGTTTTTTAAAAGGGTGTGGTTTGTTAAAGTACTGGGTCCTTTGGTAGTTTCTGAAAAAGTTCGTTGCTCTGTTTGAACCCATTATTTAAACAGTAATTTTCTTATTTTTAGTATTTGGTTTTCTGCATAACATTTACTGGTTGGTGTATTGAAATCTCATAGTATTCTTTAGTAGTTCTCTTTCCTTTTTTTTTTTTCATTTTATTTTTAAATGCATCCCTGTTTGGTTTGGCATTTGCTATATAGCCTAGAATAACATTGAACTCATGGCTGTCCTCTTGCCTCATCTCAAATGCTGAAATTACAGGCATACATTTGCCATTCTTGGCTCACTTCTCCTTTATGTTCTGGAAAGGAGAGGACTTGCGTATCTTTGAGGTTTCTAAAATCCCAAGCAATCTTAATGAAAGCAGGGATCTTCAAGGAAGGCAGCTGGGTATTGGGGTTAAGAGATCTGGAGATGGTTTTCTACCTCCTGGACTTGACAGTGGTTGTAACTGTGAGCATGCCCTTAACTACCCATACTGAACTTTCCCCATTCCTTAGTATTTGATACAAAAATTCAGCTCCAGAGCTCTTAAATAAATATGTAGATTTCTTAGAGTTTTAAATAAATCCAAAGACTACTTAAGAAAAACAAAATAGCCAACTCATGTATGGTTGAACATATAAACAGATTTAAAAACTGTCTACTTATATCCTGTTTGTTACTAAAGGCTAGTGTAAACTCTTTGGAGACTTTGAATTCTGAACCATTGAAAATTTCTTAATCCAAACAACCTCTTGTCTTAAAAAATGTACTTCCCCCTAGGGGCTGGAGATAGGGCTCTGTGGTTAACAGCCTTTTTTGTTCTAGTTGAGGAAGGGCCTGGGTTCCCTCTTTTGTTCCAAGCACCTAAATGGTGGCTAACAACCTTCTGTAACTCCAGTTCCAGGGCATCCAACTCAGTCTTCTGGCCGCTGCAGGCACTGTATGCATGTGGTGCACTTATACATCCAGGCAAAACACTCATACATGTAAAACAAAAATAAATAAAATATTTAAAAAATACATACTCTCCAGGAAGTATTTGTAGAAAGCTGGCTGCATGGACCAGGGGCAGGAATGTTATCATTATAACAGTTCTTATACATTTGGGTTAAATTCATTTTGGCTTTAAATGAAAAGCCCTTCTTTGT